AGGTGCAGGGTCTGCTGGCTGGGTGCTGGCAGGCTTGCACATGGCATGGGCACCGTAGCCAGCCCGTGCCCCTTTAAGGGGTCTGGGGCTGGGAGGGGGGCAGTAGAGTTTCCCTGGTGTTGGCCAGAGTGGCCACCAGGGAAACCTGGGGAGGGCTAGCCTCCCACTAGTTCGAATTAAGGGGTTACACACCCCTTAATTCAAACTAGCTAGTTCGAACTAGGCTTAATTCTCATGGAATGAGGATTACCTAGTTTCTAACTAAGCGCTCCGTTAGTTCGAATTAAGTTCGAACTAACAGAGCGCTAGTGTAGCGCCTATGAAAGTTAGTTCGAACTAACGTCTGTTAGGTCGAACTAACTTTGTAGTGTAGACATACCCCTTTTGAGTTGGAGTAGTGCTGATACACTTTCAGTCAAGAACTCTTTACTCTCATTCAGGAGCTTTGCATAATTGTCTTGTATTCATAAAATAAAATTAATCTTCCTACTAATGTTGTGTATGTGGGAAAGAAAACTTCTTAAAACTCTTCTACTGGCTTTCCTGACTTTAAATAATTAAATATTGGTGACAGATATCTTCAAACCAAATGACGTCAGGCTTTCTCCATTTCATCATAGATTTTAAAGTGAGTGTGAATTTTAAAGTGAGGGTGCGTCTACACAGCAGTGTTATTTCGGAATAAGGGTTGTTATTCCGAAATAACAATGCAAAAGTCTACACAGCAATTCCATTATTTTGAAATAAATTTGAAATAACAGACATCTTATTCTGACTTCTGTAAACCTCATTCTACAAGGAATAACACCTATTCTGAAATAGCTATTTCGCTCCAATGCTGCTGTTTCGAAATAGCTCCTCCTCTGGGCTACTCAAAGTGATTACTCCTCAGTGCCCCCTGGATCTCTAAATTGAGGTAGCACGTCCATATTAGGGAAGACTGCCTTGGACTAATTTTGAGGCTTCCCCGTAGTATAGACAAGCTACCTCAAAATAATCTATTTTGGATTATTTCTTCCTGAATCGCTTATTTCAAAATAAGCATGCAGTGTTAGAGTTACCCTTCGAGTAAGAGTCTATGTAAAATCTGTGTGTTTATTGCCATTGCAAACATATAATACATCTAAAAAGTGAATGGAAAATTAACAGCAACTCAGGGTGTGTGTACATTTCATTCCTCTCTCTCTCTTGAGGAATGCAAATACAGAGGAACAAAATTACAAATGAAGTGCAGATTTGAATTTCCTGTGCTTCATTTGCATAATTGTGTCCGGGCGCTATACCCTATTTCGAGAAAAGAAATGCTGTCTAGACGCAGTTATTTTGAAAGAAAACCTTTCTTTCGAAATTACCCTTACTCCTTGTAAAAAAAAAGCACCCGGATATGATTATACAAATGAAGCACGGGAAATTCAAATCCGTGCTTCATTTGCAATTTCGTTCCTCTGCATTTGCATTCCTCTCTCAAAAGAGGAATGCAGTGTAGACATACCTTCAGACTGCAACTCAAGAGATGAAGTTTTATTATGCTCCCTTGTACACATGCATTAAAATATCCTCGCTAGTTATTTGACTGTAATGCTTAGGGGAGTGTCTTACCTATTCATTGTGTGTGGAGTTTTTCACGGGGTATTTTTTTGTTTTGTTTTTTAAATTGTAACTTTTTGTGTGTGTGTTCTCAAATCATTTGTGAACTTATCCAATGTCCATTGGAATGTCTGTTAAGTGTATGACAAATAGAGTTGCCAACTCTTGTGACTTCATTGTGGCAATTATAATATTTGGGTGTTAATGAGAGGCCCATGTGGAGTCATGTGATTAAGAGAGCATTGTGACTTGCATGTGAAAAACTTTTCTAGTTCTTGTGGCTGCAAAGAGAAGTTTGAAAACATGCCTGTGGCATCTTTTTCTGTTTCATTCTCGGGTGACTGAATTTTTTTTAAAACTGAAAATATATAATAGAAATGTTTGTCCAGGATACAGTTTTGTCTTAGATATTGCATTAGACTTCCTATATGCTGTAAAATGTATATGTGTAATATGGGGACATAGTTACAATACACTAGATCATAAAGTGCAGAAAGGATATTTTAGCTTCTCTGTGCTATTGTCCTCCACATTTGTAAAATGGGTTACTAATATCTTCCTTGTATAGGTATTACAATTTAATAGGTGAGGTTTTGTGCTGCTTCCCTAAGAAGCACAGCAAAGAACATACAGTGCAGGGGAAAATGAACTAAAGTGGCTAATATGAAGCTATTGTGGAGGCTGGACTCCTGAGCTCAGAAAGGGGGCTTATTGTCTGTCTAATTTTTTCAGCTCTTTATACTTTGCTATATTTATGCACTATTTTAAAAAAGATATCCAGTCTGGTGTTCTGTGGCTTTGTTGGAAGACTTCCTGGAGGCCTTGGAAATGGTTTATTGGTGACTTGTGTCATAGTAGAAGCATCAAGAGTTAAATCTTGAACAAAGCCTCTTTTCTGTAGAATGTTCATTAGGCACTGGGAGTTCACAAAAATAAACAGTGAGACTAAATATCTTTTCATCTCTCATTTTACTCTGCTTTCAGTCTCTTGATTCCTGTAATGTCAAAACTTAATTAGTTCTCATGTCATGTATGGCTGTGTCTTTACAAGGGAACAGTACTGGGGTGGTGGGTTGGAAGGAAGAATTCTTCAGGGTATGTTTTAAAGTGAGAGCTCTAGTGTTGACAAAGCACCAGCAGCTTTCAGTCTCTTTACCATTATATTAAGTTTACCCAGCTCTCTATGAGGCTTAACAGTGGTGAAAAAAGGTCCAGCTGCAGAGCCTTATCTGTCACTTGTGGGGGATCTTTTATTTTAAAAAGTCCATAACTTAGTTGAAGCTCTAGTGTCTTCCAAGACATACAAATCTTGCATTTTTACTGTGAAAACAAGCAGAATAACTCCTCTGCCCATTCCCTCCCTTTTTGTCGTTTTGTGGTGATAGATAGGTAGGATCCTTTTGTCGTAAAGTCATAAAAAGTACAATGCTTTATAATACAGAATCTTTTAAAATTAAAAATAAGACTATTCCCCATCTTAAACAAGAAAGAAAAGAATAGAACATTAATATCTGAGTGGCAGGTGTGTCATCCATATGTAGTGCAAGCCTTAAGTAAAAGCCATTCAAATAATTCATTTGAAGTCTAGATGTTCTGAGAGGCTTATGATCCTGTGCTGAATCATAGCAGCCTATGAATGGCTGATATCCTGATACAGCACTGGGAATGGGAAGGTAAGACTGTTCTGGCCTCCTGAACAATCCCTCGCCTAGAACAGGTTGGTTGGTAATTCCTAAAAATTGAATGCTGGCCTACCATGCCTGCCAGTGAGTTGAGGTGTGGTGTGGTGAAAGGGGAAGAGGATGGAATTGTATTTATGTGAGGTGTAAGAGAAATGTGAGGGTCAGATTAGATACAAAGTGTGTGAAGGAAGAGAGAGGAGGATGGCTGAATGTGGGCACAATTTTATGCATGATTTCTACACATTGGGAAATATAACTTATCTCGACAAAATTGCAGGTGTGCTTTAACAAGGACCAGCATACTTCTTCACTGAACAGTCTGTTTGTATCTGGGGCTTCCAAAGTGTGTATGACTGTTGACGCAGCCATGATGAAAGAGGAGAGTACAGACGAGACTAATGGGCAGCGGGAGATGTCTGCTTCATTTACACATGATGTCTGTATTTGAGTTAAGGGTGGTTCTGGGTATTTTTGTGATGAGTGCACAGTGCGATGAGTCTCTGGCACATATAATAGACAGTAGTATAGTTTAAGGCCTTATTATGCATCAAATATAACCATGTTAGGGAAATGTGGTTGTAGTACTGTATTTTCTTTTGTTATTTTTCAAAGCTGTACAGGTGACCGATCCTCATGGGGGACTGGCTTTGTGTGAAGTTCTAAAGTTGAGCTCTTTTTTTTGTTTCCTTTAAATTTAAAATCTTGACAGACAGTCAGACAAACAGACACACACACACACACACACACACACACACACACACACACACACACAAAAACAACTTACAATGATTCCATGGCTTTGGCTTCAATATTATTAAATAAGATACCCCCAAAGTTCGCATTTAGATTGAGACCAAGAATAAGCAAGTCTGTGATGAAAATATGCTGCAACTTAAGTATAACACTTATTACAAATTGTAATGTATTGTTAGATCATCTTAGTTCTGTGAGCACTGAACACTGTTGACTTTCAAGGGTACACCAGAATTGTGATCACCTGAATTACTGGCACCTGTCAGACAGGAAATTCACCTATTTACAATCGAGATTCGCATATAGAGCAATCAAAATAAACCTAATTCTCGTTGCAACTGGGCCACTGTTCTCTAAATATTATGACAGGGGTCTTTGTCTATTTGTTTGCACTCGCAAGATGGCACAAAGGCCTAGTTGTGGAGGTATGGGAGGTATGTAATAAAATGACTTGCTAATTTTCCCTTGTGCCATCCTACTAAAATGATGGGACTGAAGGAGGTGCAATTGGTTCTTATTTTTCTGAAAGGGGACTCTGATTTCAAGACTCCCCTAAAGTTTCTGGACTGACTGTCATGCTTTGTTAAATTTGCTTCTCTTTAGTAAAGGTGTATCCTTTTATTTTTGTTTTTAATCTTTACCTTAGACTAAGTTGTTTATTGTCTCTCTTTCTTTTCTAGGTAAAGAAATTAAAAGCCTTTGATGGAGATGTAGCAAAACTGTGTCAAGCAGATTACTTTATGTATTTACTAATCAAGGTGCCAAAGTAAGGAGGTACTAGGTTTATTCTATTCATGACAAACTCTCTCTTTTGGCTCTCAGTTTTAAAGCATAGTTTGTTTATATTCTAGCTATTCTCTTCGGATTGAAGCTATGATGCTAACAAGAGAATTCGTACCTTCTTGTACTTCACTGCAGAAAGACATGAAAATTATAAGATCGGCTATGAAAGGTAATTAAACATGCTGTGACATGCATTATATTCTTGTTTTTGCAAGCACATTGATTAATCTGCCTTATATAGAATAAATCTTGAATTTCAGGTACCTAGTAGCTATTTAAAGGATGCTAACTAACCTCTGACACATTCCACGAGGGTGTGTATCTGTTGAATCTTTACTTTGCTCTCAAGGCCAAGGATCCTGAAGTTACTGCATCCTTTTCACATTCCTCTATGGCTGCCTGTCTGTAAAGTGGCAATACTTATTGACCAAAATCATTATCATAATGGATTCACATATAATCTATTATAGAGCCATTTTTTTCTGTTCTTCTGAACTCACTGTTTTCTAAACTTTATAGACGCCAGAGTGCTTGTTCGGTCCAGCAGTCAAATCCTAATTAAGTCCTTGTGCTTTGACAGGCCGCTAACACAGAGCACAGTGGTTTGCAGGGTACCACTACTGACTGCTTTCATAATGACCAATTTTCGTGTTGGATTAAACAGGATAATTTAAATAGTGCTAATTTTGGAGCAAAATAATTTATTTTGTTAAAAAAAATGTTCACAAGGCAGTGATTGCAAGTGGTTTATTTTAAGCCTTCTACAGTGTAAGGGTTCCACATTTTACTTTGAATGGATATATATTCATCAAGCCTTATAAAATATAATGTTTTATAGTATTTATTCCCATGCTGTGAATATCTTGCACATTTGCAAAGATCTGTTATTCTCTACAGCATTTGTAGAATGCTAGTTCTATTAACTTTTCATAGTTTCTTATCTCTGTTTCACTTGTTTCTAGGTACTTATCATGACAGTTTCTAAGCATGTACATGTGTGTTAAGTTGAATCTTGTTGAAAATGTCCATGTATATTTTCATCTAAATTACTGATGTGTTCTGCATAAGCAGTCTCTGTAGGAAATAGGGATGTCAAATCCCATTTAATTGTTCAACCAGTTAAACATGAAGGGTTCTTCTACACAGCACCCTAAACGCGCTACGCAAATTGTGTATTTTATTTTGAATCTATTTTGAAATAGCTTATTTTGAAATTTGGTGCATTTATACAGTGCCACATTTCGAAATAACGTGCTATTTTGAGCCATCTCTTATCTCTCGTGCAATGAGGTTGACCAGGATGGTGAAATAGCACGCTCACTATTTTGAAATATATTTTGAAATAATATGTGGCTTGTGTAGACATGGGTAGACATTTACCAAGTAAATGGGAGAGGAGAGCAGCGGAACTGCTCCTGCCTGGCTAGGCTAAAGTGGTGCCCCCTGCCACTCTACCACAGATGGGGGCTGCTTTAGGGCCTGAGGTGGGCAGGGGGCTACTCCAGCCCCTATCAGTTAACCATTAACGTCCCTACCTGGAAATACACTTTTAAAATGTTTTGATATAGACTTATACCCCATCTGTGATGTCTCAGAGCTGTCTTTATTGTAACTCAGTGTCCTTTGATTATGCAGAGAGTCCGCAGCTTGGGGGACTTTAGGAATCAAGGTCCCGATTTTGTCTGACATTGAACAGTTCCTGCAAGATGCTAAGCATGCTTGCTTCATTCTGAAGTTAGTGGGAGATGAGGATGGATGGTAATTCTTATGAGGCACTCAGAATTGTGCAGGATTTGACCCCAGTGTTTCAGGAGCTACTGGTGGTTGCCTTGGAAACATTACACTAGCTGAGCTAAGGTCTGAATACGTACTTGTGGTTTGCCAACTGGGCCCGTGGCTTTGGATTATATTGTGCCATTTTCTCCCATGAACTTTCAATCAATTGCAGTTTCTTCTTTAAAAAAAATTTCATACCTTTATAAGATTGAGGATTAAATGGACTTTGGTACCTGATAATCTACGTATCATATATACACTGTATATATTTCTAAATAGCCTCCAGACAGCAATTTTCTGTTTGTTTCTTTACAGAGTTAATGTCATGTGAGGAACTACATTCCATATTATACTTGGTCCTTCAGGCTGGGAATATTATGAATGCAGTAAGTGTGCATCAAAATGGAGAGCCTGATTGATTGATTGTTGCAAACCACTGTTGTCACATGCCTTCTCTGTCTCTTTTTTCCTCTTAGGGGGGTTATGCTGGCAATGCAGTTGGCTTTAAACTCTCATCACTGCTCAAGCTGGCAGATACAAAAGCAAACAAACCTGGGATGAATCTGCTGCATTTTGTTGCTTTGGTATGTAAAAACTACCATCTTTGTTAATAGCTGTTATAATTAAGGGAAGCATGAATGTCTGAGAGTTTATTTTAGTTGAGTGGAAACAGTATATATATTAAGAGGGTTAAATGCTAAGTTTCCTGTCCTAACCCTTCCCTATTTGCCTCCACACATTCCACTAGCCTACCCATGTATGGTGATCCTATCCACAGAAAGCTGAACAAATAAGATGACCAGTTAAATCTTCAGCAGAAACTGTTTGGTATTTTGGGGGTGGGGGAGTCTAGTCTTTCAAGTATAAAATCCCCCTGTCTATTACAGTCCTGGAATACTTGTTAAAGGAGCTCTCAATTTTGATTAAGAACTTCTTTCTGTTAAAACTTCTGAAGAGAAATGAGCTATTTCATTGCACTGCTTGACTCAAAGGTATCAAATCTGTTGCATCTCTTTTAGGGTTTTTTGCCTTTTCCAATTTGGAATGAATTGGAAGTGCATCTGGAGTGACTCTCTTGACCAAACTTTTCTTCCCTCCATGGAAGGGGAAAGATTTAAATACATCCACTTGTGATTTTTATCCTTGCATGCAAACTGGTTTAACTGCTTTCTCATCAGCAAGACCCCTTCAGCTAACTAAAAGAGTATTAGGTGATGGTTAGGCAGGAAATATTGTATTAGCCCAAACAATGAGCATTAGTCAATTGCCCTTCCCTAACATTCTCTTTTAATGCACATGGATTGTTTTCAGTGGAAGAAGGTACTATTATCTGTGCTCTGTGAAATGGAAATTGTTTAAACTCTCTAGGTCTGATCCTTGTCCTCCTTTAAGTGAGGCTTTTTTCCAATAATTCACTCAGTTGAACTGAAAGAAAAATAGAATCTAGCAGCAGTGGAATACAGAAACAAATTGCCTTTCCCAAAGCTTTAGAAACAGTCTTTACTTAGATTTTAGCAGAGTAATGGAATGTTAAAGGGACATTGTTTGTTTGTTTGTTTAATTTTAGGAAGCACAAAAGAAAGATGAGGCTCTTTTAACCTTTTCAGAAAAATTACAGCACATTCATGATGCAGCCAGGTAAGCAAAGCAAACTGAGAACTTATTGTTAAAAGGAGACGTGGGACTTGTTTTTGTGTTACACAGAAGCACATTCATAGAGCTTTGGCATGAAAACTGAGATCTTTACAAGTGTTTACCATAGCTTTCAGGGCTCCATTTTCAATGTACTTTCAGGTTTAGCGCTTCTGATGGATTGATTTTTATAGGGTTTTTTGCCTTTGTCAACACAATGTCCAACTAGGTAAATGCACATACATAGTACTTAAGATCAGCCTACAGATCATGTTTTTAAAATAGTTTCATGTTACTATTACTGCTGCGCTATAGAATAATGTCCAGATATCTATTATAGTACCTTTCTTTCCAGATCTGTAACCAGGTACACTAAAAAAAGATGACTAGTGGCTCTGGTTTCCTCTAAACTACATATCCCCATTTCTATAACACCTCTTGCCTTTATAGCCTTAAGATTCTCCCTCCATAATACATACTCTACTATAAGTCTATAGGACAGTCAAATATTGAACCACCCCATTCTTGTACTATATGAACTTGCTTTACAAGCTTGGATTCCCATTTCTCTTAGGTGGGGGAGGGAAGAAAGACTATGCAGCTGTGTCTACATTGGCACCCTTTTGCGGAAAAGGGATGCTAATGAGACAAGTCGGAATTGCAAATGCCGTGGGGGATTTAAATATCCCCTGCAGCATTTGCATGAACATGGCTGCTGCTTTTTTCCAGCTTGGGGCTTTGCTGGAAAAAAGCTCCAGTCTAGACGGGATCTTTCAGAAAATAAAGCCTTTTCCGGAAGATCCCTTATTCCTCTTAAAATCAGGAATAAGGGATCTTCCGGAAAAGGCTTTATTTTCTGAAATATCCCGTCTAGACTGGCCCTTTTCTCCAGCAAAGCCCCGAGCAGGAAAAAAGTGGCAGCCATGTTCATGCAAATGCCGCGGGGGATATTGAAATCCCCCACGGCATTTGCAATTCCGACTTGTCTCATTAGCATCCCTTTTCTGGAAAAGGGTGCCAATGTAGACACAGCCTGCATGTAAATGAACACATTGTATTCATTTTGTGAATAGAAGAAAAAAACTATAATACCTGGGGCTAAGTATAGTTCTCAACCTGAGGCTTTGAATTGTATAATTCTACAGCAAGCATTAATTTATACCTGGCTAAACAATACATTTTTTATGAGTCAGTGTATGATCTGGAACATAGAACTGGAAGCTAGAAGCCCCTGAATTCTAATCCTGGCCATCACCTCTCTGTCTTCAGAGAGGTGACTTAAATTCTTTCCACATCAGTAAAATGGAGAGACTTCCTATCTCATGGATATGAGTCTTGATTTAATGTCTGTAAAGTACTTCAATATCCTCAGAGTGTGTATGTGTTGGCAATAGACCTGGCTTAAAATTTCTGATCTTTCAGAAATCTGCCTGGCTTCCTGCTGTCTTGTCTTTTACTCCTTAGTAGCCCACCTAGCAGACTGCTAGGGAGCCCAGACCTCTCAGGGAGTAATCAGAGAACTTCCATTTTGGCTCTCTCAAAATAGAAATGTGTTTTTGTCCGTCTGTTTCCTCCTGTGAAATATTTAGACGTTTTGACTTCTGTGCCCCTGATTAGCTGAAAGTTTTTTTTTTTTCCCCTCAAATTTAAAATTTTTCATGGGAGGGAAAGAACTGCTTTCTGGCCAGGTCCAATTTACAACAGAACATTTGTCATTTAATATGACCAAATCCAATGGTGAGACAAAAATGAAACAAACCAAAACATATATATACGAACAAGATAAAAAACTCACGAGTAGAAGCTGCTGATAAACACCTTAAAAATCCGAACACCTTAAAAATCGCACATTTGTTATAGTGCCCTCTGGTAAATTAGTAACCTTGCCTTTTCTTATTGCACTCCCTTGCTCTTTTTTGTAGGCTTGTAAAATGCAGTCTGTGTCATCTGCAGACTTTTTGGTCTGCTAAAGGGTTTGCAGTACACTGGGATGCAGAATTCTGAAGCTTCTGTGATATGCACTGGAGCAGAGAGTGTTTCTGTGGAGATGAAGGAAGTTGAGGAATAACAGCTTACCTCATAGCCATAGATATGCGCACTGCCTACTCCAATACTGATAATTACAGGTGCTGCTGCCATCATCACCAGCCCTGTGTACACAAGGAAGCATATCATGTGAACTGCAGTTCACACACATGTAAAAGAGCAGTGGTGGTAATTAAAATCATGCTGTGGGTGAAATGCCTGCTAACCAGCATGAGTATGTGTGATCAGTAATGATGGGTCATCAAGGAGAAGTTATTAATGCTTCATTTCCAAACTTAAATTTTATGGTGGTATTGAACTCGCTGTTAGGGTAATACTATCTCTCCATGGTAACTTACCCTGAAAGAGCCATTGCTAAGATGTTTGAGAGACTCAGTTATTTGCTATTAACTTGCAGTGAGGCTGCAAAAACTATAGGAACTAGGTCTTCAAATACAAAAAGACTCAGGTTCTGTAAGAGCAGAGCTATTTCTGTGAGTCTTGGTCTTGTTGGACTGCCCTGCCTAATGAGTGATATTGCCCCAATAACAAACCTGCTGAGGGGGAGGGGGAGATTCTTTTGTAACTTGCACTGTTTTTGGTGATAGCTAGCCATTCTTAGGCAAATAGGCTGTGTAGTGGTCAAGCCACACTTACTTGTCACACGTGGTGTAGGAGGGTTTGTTTGGGGTTTTTTTTGCACCTATTCAGGTAATATAGTAGAAGATGAAATATTGTGGCTGCTGGATTGCTGTGACTTCATGAAGGAATATATCCATTAAGAAAACTTAGGAAACCTTTCAATATTTCAAATAAAGAATAATAGGTAGATTTCTCTGCTCACTCTTACCTTCTGCTCTGGGAAGGTTTACCAAGCAGGCAGGTCTTGTTTGATGTATAGGTGGTGTATTATGACAGATTTATGAAGCATGCTATACCTAGCAAAAGGGCAACTCCTTTCTGTCAGTAAGTGCTCCCTGTATATGCTATTTTTTAGATTATCCATTGATAATATAGAAGCAGAACTTCATTCTCTATCTGCCAAGACAAGATCTCTTAAAAACAATATTCGGCAGGACCCAGGACTCTTTCACCAGATGGAAGATTTTATCAAGGTTTGTAGAATGCATCTGCTAATATATTAATATCACTTCAATGCAGTAGTGTTTCTCAGTCTAACATAATTTGCACAGGTAGGTTAACAGGCAGTAGATTCACTCTAACATTCCTCATCATAAATCTGTTCAGAGCTGTTCATGCTGCAATTCTGTCTTTGTCAAATATTAGTTTATAAAGTACTACACTTTTTAGAGGGAAAATATTGGATACATGTTGCCTTGAGGGCTAATGAAGCAAAGCATATTTAACTATTGTGAAATGGCTGACGGAGATGAGCGGTTAGAATATCAGATTATTTGCATGGCTCTACTACTTTTTATTTAACATGCAGAAACTAGATTCTTACCAACTTGTTATGTTGGAGCATGTCAGTTTTAATTGAGATTGTACTGAGCATTTCAAACCCAGATTGTTGGGAGATTGAAGGGACGTTTTTAGCTACTCGTATGTTTGACAAATTTGCTATGGATTAACCCTTAGCATATATTATAGCGTAAACTCTACCGTGGCTCTTGGATGGTGATTTTATTTGATTTTGCAATTTTTTTGTATGTAAATAAATGGAGTATTTAACTTTTGAAACAATCTTGACACATGTAGTATTACACCTTTTACAAGGTAGTGTTGAGTATAAGAATCTATATTTGGGAAGTATAAGAGTGTGTCCTGTGTCTTTTAAAATACTTTGTATACGTTTTAATCATAAGAATAAAGCATTTACCAAGAAACTTGATAAAGTACCTGTGATTTAAATTTACAGAAGCTGTTAATGGATTATCCTTTGCACTTTGTCAGGAGCTGTGAAATTTATGGAGAAAAAGGGTGGGAAAAGAATGAAATACCTGTCTGCACTCTTAATTGTTAGCTTTTATTCAAGACTCTTAATGTTGTGTTTTAACATGTTTTTTATATTTTAATTGCTACCTTTATGTAGCATTAAAACCTTGCTAAGGACAGATTGCAAGTGAAATCTTGGAACCATTTTTCACTTTACAAATATATGCTTTATATAATACTTTCATTTTTGAAATTACTGGCAGCAACAATGCTGATATATCATCTTACATGATGTCATTCTTGTGAATAAGCTACTAATATTTATATTAGAGCTAATTGTACTGTTTATCTTCAATCCAGCTTTTGTTTGCTTTGTGTGTGTGTGTGTGCGCACGCGCGCGTGTGCGTGTATATGTGTGTGTAAAGACTGACAAGCAAAGCTTTATTTCTACAGTAATTTTCCACTGCCCACAAAACAAACAAACAAACAAACAAAACCACTCCACCCTCTATATAAACCTTAGGCTGCTGACATAAATTGCTACTTTATACAGCAGTTTTGTTTACCAGGTTGTTTTTAATATTTCTGGCACTATTTTCATTTTTTTTTCTGATTTTAAGACTGTTGCTCTTTCATGTTCTCAGTTAAACTAATAAAAGAGGTGATGGCATTATTTGTGTTCACATCTATAGTTTTAAGAGAAAAGGGAGAGAGTAAGATAATTCACTCAATATTTTTTAGACCAATATTGCAACTTCTAAAGCTTTTTCAAACACTATTTTCTCTTTAATTATTTTTACACTTAGCTTTCATTTTGTCAGTGGCTTGGATTTAAAGTGTCTAAGTCCATTCCTGTTTTTTAGATAAAACATTACATAGATTCTCATTAAAGTTCTTACACTGATGCCCAGCACAGACAGTATCTGAACAACTTCCTCATGAAAGGCCTTCACACCGTGTGTATATTCAAAATGCTATAGTGTTTAAATACAACCAGAGCTAGTCAGAATTTGGAGAGGGAGGTTATTCAATGAAAAGGGGGTGGAATATTATATGGATCTTCCATGGAAAATTGGAAACTGAAATACCATGCTGCATCATGGAAAATGTAGTCCCACTGGTTAGCCTGGGCTATAGAAGAAAATAGGAGCATGAAGCAATCAAACTATGACTCCCATAAGGCACAACATCATCATTTCATAATCAAAATATTTCAGGTTATGGGTGGAAAAATTAGAAAGTATCCATGGAGAGCACACATTTTATTTTATTTTGCAAAATTCTTGATTAGTTGAAAACCCAATCTTCCATCAAATCCCTTTTTGAAAGGGGTAAATTTTAAGGGAGAGAAGGGGGCTGCCATCGGGAGAGGCAAAGTCATTTGGGGCAACTGTCAGAGGCATTTGGAAGAATCAGCAGCTGTAGATGAGAAGGCTCATATTTTTAGTGCACCATGATAAGAGGCAAATCCAACCTGACTGCATTGTTCTGAGAGTTAAGGTTTGAAACCTGTTGTTTTGCGTTTTAACCCTTAACTTAATGACCTGTGTTGTTAATTGGAATTACTCTTTTGATCTCTTAGTAAAATGACAACAAGTCTGCTTATACATTGTAGAGTGTTACACTCCAAGTCCTGATTTACTGGACTATGCGATAGCTCATAGATGGGAACATGGATTTCAAAGTTCTTAATATGTCTGATTTACAATGTATTTGTTTTACTGCAGTTAGCTATAAAAGAACTAAAAGAACTAGAATACTGGAAACGAGAATTACGGGGGCAAGGAAATACACTTATTGACTTTTTCTGTGAAGACAAAGAAACCATGAAACTGGAGGAATGCTTCCAAATATTTAGGGACTTTTGCATGAAATTCAACAAGGCTGTTAAGGTAAGGAGAATGAAAACCTGTTTTCTTTCACTTAAAATAAATCTTTGGATTCTTGTATGTGTTAAGACTGCTTTTCGGATCCCCATAATATTTGACATTTTTTTAATTAATATCAAAGGGGGAATTGCCCATTTCTAGGGTTTTTATTGCTTTAAACAAACAGGAAAATGGCTACCTTTCCTTCCCTTATAGCCAATTTAATAATTAAGTAAAAAATGTTGCTGCCCCAAATATTTTGTTACCAGCCAATTAGAATATTTAAAGGACATGTCAGGCCACTCGTCTAAGTGTCACTGTAAGATCGTTTCCTCTATCCTTATGAGTCTGTGGAGATTTTCTGTCTTTGTCCTTTTCCCTTTGAGAGTAAGGCATGAAGTGGCATTTTGGGTCCCATGAAGACTGTGTGTGCCCTGGGGGAGGGTGGGGAGGGCAGAGATATGGAGAAGCAGAATAAAAGATTTTATCTATTTCAAGATTTGTATTATATAGGTGACCTTCAGACCTGCCAGGCAACTGTGGTGTGAAAGCAGCCTCTGTAGTCTTTGCTCTACTTTTGCCATTGGCGGTTTTGCTTTTTTTCCAGGGACAGCTTTCTGTACATAAATATGTTCTTTGTCTCATTTAATCCAATGTGTCATTCCTCTTTTCCTTTGCAGTGCTGAATAATGGTATAAACAGGCAATTTCCAATGCAGTAACTGTTTGATATTAGCATATTAAAAATCCACTAGAAAGCACTGCTAGATGGGACACGAAAATCTGAACAATACTCCTGGCTTATAAATACAAACAAACAAAACAGATATACAATACCCAGGTGCACAAGTAACTTAGCATCTGGAGTAGTTCCATTCCCTTCAGATTTTTTAAGTAGTTTGAAATGAGGCTGTATTGAAAACATCTAATTCAAAATGTCTAATATCTCAGACACTCTTTACTCTGTTTAGCCTGTATACAGTTCTTCAGTGTTGGAGGAATACCATCACCCTGAATTACACTTTAAGTTAAAAAAAATCCTGTATACTGTTACAAGTAGTGTGAATATTGCTAGTCTCTGATGTATTAATAACATAATAAAATTATGCCCTCCAGAAATGTGTACCCACCTTTGGCAGAGGCAAGTTACCCTTTGCATCTTGGATAGAGCTAGATAATCAATATCTTCCTTTTACCAGTGACATCTATTGCAAATAATCCAGACTTTAACCCCAATAGTAAATCAGAGAACACTCTAGGCAGTCTATACTAAAGATATCTCTCTCTAGTGTTTTGTTTTGTTTTTTAAAAAATCAAACCCAACTATAACTGGCATAGTCTCCTCTGGTATCAGGACCTTTAATTTAGCATTGTTTTCCAGCTTTCTAGAAAGCTGTTTTATATAGAAAGAAAAGTTTAAAAAAACCACTTTGGATGAATAGCAAATGAAATAATTAATATCAATCCTTGCTGCCAAGTGCTCACAAAATATCCAAATCCTTTTGGGTGTTTTATCACATATAGTAAGGTTGACAAATTACACCACAGGAATAAGCCTCAATTTGGAAAAGAGGGTCAGCAATTTCTGTGGGTACATGATAAAATACTATTTTGTTTAAAATACCGTTTTGTAGTACTCTCCACCAGCCTGGCTAGTTGCCTATAATATAAAACTACGAGTGGAGATAAGTGAAGAAATTGTAGTGAAAGAACTGATTTTATGCATATTGTTTATATGCATAAACAATAGTGCAATTATTTAGATATTGGGATGCATTTTGTAACCAAACGTTATAAATTGATGTTTATTATCCACTGGGGATCCTCCAGGCTTTTCCTCATGAACGGGGTCACACTCAGAGAAATGAATAATTAATTTCATGTTTGCTAGAAGCTACTAGACTATTCATAAAAAAAAGCAAAAAAAAAAAAAAAACCCCAGAAAAATTGCATTTGGAAGTTTTTTTGAGTATGAGCATTTGAGTATGTCATGTTTGTAAATATAACATAAAAAAATCCCAAGGAGTGTATCCTGGGTGGGGTAAGAAAGTTCAATGGGCAAGCTTACCAAATAGCAAATGTAGAGAAATGTCCTGCAATGATATATTAAAACAAAGTATATGGTTACAATTCATAAAGTTCCTTAAAAAGATATGTATTTTTAAAAAGGGAAATAATTAGGAAAACCATAGATTGTTTCAGAATGACTCCACTTTTAAGAATATTGTTTATATGCAATTATTTTTAACCAGTTCATATTTATAAAGTTGATCTGTCTTCAATCAGACATACCCACAGGCAGGAGTTAGTGCATTGCATTGTAATGGAATAAATCAGTGGTTCCCAACCTTTTTATACCATGGACCAGCAAACCCATTCACAAACTTTTGGCGAACCGGTAACATTTTATTAGCATAATCATTATGCAAATAGTGAATATGCAAACGTGCAAATAAAATGTTATTGCTCTGCCAAAAGCCATGGCCCCCAGAGCTGCCCCGAACATCCGGTTTCAGCTCCAGCAATTACCATGTGGCAGGTCGCTGCTGCACTTGATGCCAGGTGTTTGGGGCAGCTCTGGGGGCTGGGGTACACCTGGGCCCCCGAGCTCCCCGGTGCCAGCCACTGATCCCTAGAGCCCTCACCCCTCCATTACTCCCCAGTGCCAGCCACTGACCCCAGAGTCCCTCGCACCCAAATACCCCGTGCCAGCCTCCCACCCTCAGAGCCCCTCCAGTGCTAGCAACCCTTCTCAAATGCCTCAGTGCCAGCCCCCGTCTCTTGAGCCTTCCACCCCCAGAGTCCCCCCGCACGACTCTCTCCC